GAAATATTTCGTTTTTGTTATATATGTGAAAGGAGGGTTGATTTTTCTATCGATTTCTATCGAATATTGGAAGTGAATATTTGTGAAAGGTCATAAAAACTTGCTTTTTCTGAAGTTTAAACGGCGGCCAATTTTTAAGAGCTAATTTCTGTTCAGTTTTGCATAAGTTTTGCTAAATATTATCTACATATTTAACGTTGATGAATTTCTTTCATCTCAAGCGATTTTTATCTTTAGTGAATTTGGTTTTCATCGGGATATCTGAGTGTGTAAAAGTTTCGATCTAGTGCTTCTCAAGATGAATATTAAAACAAAACATTTCCAAGGTTTTATATAAATACAACAAAATAGACGAAATTGTGAAAAATAATGTAATCAACCTGTACATAACAAACTATTAATGATGTGTATTCATCTATGATATGGGTGTCGGTGTGGTTGGACTGAAGACAATCACTCACACCCACACCCTACTTTCTTCATCCAACAGTGTATATTTCTCAACAGAAAAAAATTTTGTCACATTACTTGAACAACAAAACTTAAAAAATACTGCAGAGCTTTACATATAATGTTTTTCGTCAGCATAGTCAGAAATTGAAATTATCTTTCAATTGATGTGAACAGATGAATATAAATGAATAGCACATTGTACTCTTTTCTAATTCCCCACGTTGGGTTTAAATCTATTTTAACTGTGACTGTTTTTAATCGAATCAAATCCCAAACTCTCTCAATCTTTATTTGACATAATTATTGTCCATATTTTTCCAATGTATTTTACTTACTTTGGACGTATACACGTGACTGTCAGATTGTGAATATGCAAGAGAAGAAGATCTACACTTAAAACTGTTTGAATAATCTTGTGTCAAAATATTTTACTAAAGAATAAAACAAAGTGTTTGAAGAGATAGATTTATATATGTATGCAAGACCTTGATTGTTTATTTCAAAACAATCTATTGTTCGAAATCGATTTTAAATATGATCTTAGGACTTATGTGTTCGATTGTTTTTTTTTTATAATGATAAAAGATACAGTGATGTTAGTTCTCCGGATTATAGAAGTAAAAGAAACATTTGAAGTGAACTAATCGATTAAAATATTGTCGAATGTACCATCGATACTCAAAATGATTGCTTTTATAAGTTCTAAATATCAAGATATGTATAGTAGATTCATTATTTATATGATATTTTGTCGTGAACAAAGTGATATTTGCTATCCCATACGTAAAATCTTACTCAATAATATGGCATGATTGAGTATAGATATTGAGAGGAAAAAGGTATAAAATACTGAAAAGTCGAATATTCACAGAGCAGGATTAATATTCTAATAAAACCTTAGACTATTATGTTGCTTATTTAAAAAGTCTGATTGTTGAATCATGAAGTTCTTCACATTCATGCTCGGTATCGTCTATTATTACTAGATTTCTTCTTGTTCATTCTCTGTAGAAAAAAAAATAAAGATTTCTATTAATATTGTTAATATGACCCTCTTGACAGAACTGTTTCATATTCATCAGGACAGACACGACGAGTAAATTCATCGACACAAGCCATTCGAAGACGTTCGACAGTTGCTGGTGAATGAAGTGTAAAATAGCCTGATAAACTTTGTTGTTCTCGATAGACTTGACACGCTTGTTTTAAAGCAACAAAAGCTGATGCAGCAAGTAAAATTGACGGTTCACCAATACCTTTCGAAGAATAGATGGCTCGCGGATTTAATGAATTAGATAATAATGAAACACGAAAATCAATCGGAACATCACTAAACGATGGAATCTTGTAAGTATCAACTCCACAAGTGTATAATTGTCCTGATGGAATCCATTTATTGAATTTTTTATCACCCCGGATGAGTTCTTCCATAGTAAAAAGTCCAACTCCTTGTATGAAATTGCCTTCAATTTGACCAGTATCAATTTGTGGATTGAGTAATGTTCCAACATCCTACAAAAATTAAAACTACAAGTATTGCCAATCATAAATTTTAACTTACCATCAGTATATCAACGTCACGCTGCTCCTTGTGTAAAATAATTGTAATTAGCTTTATTATTTGTAAAATCAGCACTGAACATATTCGGTGTTATATAGAATCCACGTGCAAATAAATCAATACGAGCAAAATAAGCTTGTTTTACAAGATTTTCCTATGAAATATTAGCATTATTATCAATAATAAGTGTATCTAATCGTTGACGAATTTGTTCACAAGCGTGTCTTACAGCCATTCCATTAAGATCTGATGAAGTTGATGCACCTGTCGGAGTTGTATTATGAATTTTATCTGTCGCTGTTTCACTAATTCGTATTTGATCAACACTGCAATCTAATACTTCAGCAACTATTGCTATCATTTTTGTATGTAATCCTTGACCGATTTCTACACCGCCATGACTAATTACAACTGAACCATCTTTATAAACATGAACAAAGGCTCCTGCCTGATTATAATGTTGAATTTCAAAACCGATGCCGAATTTAACTGGTACCATACTAACACCACGTTTTCGATATTTATTTTTTTGATTAAATTCTTCAACATTCTGTTGTCTTTGAATAAAGTCACTTGATTCCTTAAGTTCATCCAAAATTCGTGGAACATTCCAGTTTTCTAAAATTTGGCCATAATGAGTTGTATCACCTTCTTTGAACAAATTCAAACAACGAATAGTAAATGGATCACATTTTAGATATGCAGCAATATGTTCTACTATTGTTTTACATGCTAGCATAGCTTGCGGTCCACCGTAACCACGGCAACCTGAAATTGGGAAAAAAACCGTTTTATTGATCTGAAATAAATTTTGTAACAAACCAGTGTTTGATGGTAAATGTGTTTTACAAACATGACCATGAATTCGAATATTAGAAAATTTATATGAATTCCCCATATGAAGCATAGCACATTCCATAATACTTTTTGATAAATCTAACGTACAACCAGCATTATTCCACATTTGAATATCAAGTCCTAAAAAACGACCTTCATTAGTAAATGCTACTTTATATTTAATTTTAAATGGATGCCGATGTCCACTTATTGACATATCGACAGATCGATCAAGATTGAGACGAATAGGACGAGCAATTTTAACAGCAGGTACTACAACATCAGCACAGAGAGGAATACTAAAATGAAACAAAATCATTATTATCTAATACATTGAGTGAATTGAAAAACTCAAATTTAAATAATAATAAATATAAGAATAATATTGATATTTCACAGTAATATAAAAACTTTGTGACTAACATTTAACTGATTATAGCTAGTGTAATTAAAAAATGTTAAAAATAGACCAGAAAAAAATCATTACGATCCATATTAGACTCTTTTGTCAAACACGAAAATTCCACATAGAAACTGTTATGTTAAACATAAGACAAATATGATAGGCTTAAATTGAAAGAATGAACTACTTTACTTACGGTCTTGTTCCTTTGCCACCTAAATGCTCCACCAATTCTTTTAACATGGCATGTTATATGATAAACATTTCGTCCAAGAACAAATGCTATTATTTCTTGAGTATCAGTAGGATTTTGTCTTCCTGTATATATATTTATTTCTTTATCATCATTTGACGGTATAACCATAAAAGAATTTGTTTCCATATAAAAATGTTCTTGACCACCAATGTATAATGTATCTTCTAAAATTTGTTCAGTATTTTGAAAGACATCGTCAAGATCACCTTGCTGAAGAGATATTTCATCACCAAAATAAGATGGATGAATAATAGCATCTTCAATAGAGAAAATTCTTGGTGACAATAAATCATAATCAATTTCAACAAGACTTGCAGCTAAATTTAGTTTAGCTGCATGTTCAGATTCACAAACAATAATGCCAATAATAGCACCAACACAAAGTGCTATTGATGATACGAATACTTCTTCACCAGGTAAAAATTCATCTAACTGATTCGAACCTGGTACATCAGTATAACCGACAAACGATACAAATCCTGCAACTTTTGAAGCCTCCTCAATATCTATACATAAATTAATTTTAATAAAATTTAAACAAAATATAAATAAAAAAAACAATTTACCAATATTTTTAATTCGCGCATTTGCTTTTTTACTAAGTACAAGTGCAGCATAAAGTGTATGAATGTGAGATGGCATGTGGATAGGTGTGGGTGTGGGTGTGGGTGTGGGCGTAGGTGTGGGTGTGGAGTGTAAGTGTGGGTGTGGGTGTGGGTGTGTTAGTGTAGATGTTGAATTCATCCACACCCACACCCACCCTCACACCCACACCCCACACCCACACCCACACCCCACACCACCCACACCCACATCCGATGCAAGAATGTGACTCAACAAGCTCGAAACACTCAACACGAGAAGAATCCATCAAGCAGACAACGCGCCAATACTCCACAACCGTTACGAGAAGCTCGATCATTGACATAAGTAATGACGAGTAGTAAACAAACATTACAATCGCATACATCGAGATCATGACGTAAATGAACGACAAAGTAATTCAAAAAGCATTATTTACATAATAATTCACAACTGATAAAACAGCAAGATCTACCAGCGTTTCGCGGCATCCACATCGAGAGAAACGTGATATAAGTCCTTCCGTGGCACCCACATTCAGAGAGACGTCATGTGAGTGATTTTGCTACACATATATCGAGAGAGACGCAATGTAAGTCGTTTTCCGGTCACTAAAGTCAGATCCTGGTAGACTGTGCTGTTTTATCAATTGTGAATTATTTTGTAATTAGTGTTTTCTAAATTACTTTATAATTCATTTACGTCATCCAATGCATACATCAGTTAAGGAGAAATGTCGAAAATTACGACGTTTGAAAAATCAAAACATAAATATCTTTCGACCAGGCATGAGTTGAAATAGAAATAAATAAGTTAATCGAAGATTATACTTATGCGAAGAATGGAAACAAAATCGTTGCAATAACAGACAATAACAATGATCAAATACAAAAGACAAAAACAGCTATTACAATAATTACTGAAAATACGAAAAGAAAGAAGAAAAAATCCAATAAACATATAATTATCGATGACTAAACTATTGGACCAAATCATCCAATCTACTTTTTTCAACATCTACGTCTACAGTTAAAATAGAAGTTCAATGTCAAGAAACAACAAAGATGCATCCATCATTCACTCCACCTCTTCGATCAACAACAACATCTAGATATCTATCGAAATTTCTGTCAATCTTTTCTGACACTTAGATTTGAACATAACATATGACCAGTAAGTTCTCTAAGACACAATCATCTAAAAAACAAATCGATTAGTGTTTCTCTTTCTACGGATCAATCAAGAAACAAGTATATAAAAAAGAGACCACAAATGAATACGAATTATGTCAATAATTGGCTCAGAATCGTTTGATACAACTTTATCGACCATATGATCAAAGTACAATTGAAGTAATCGTACAATCTCCCTTAGGTCCATCCAAACTCTTAGCATTGGACACAATCGATCATAATCGTAAAGAATTTGTTCAATTGTAACTAAAATATTCATTCAATAAAATACTTGTCCATTATTAAGAAATCTCTCTAAGAAAAAGAAAAACAACAACTTTTCGTTCATAATCTTCTCTATTTCAGATAGAATCTTGTCGACGAAAGTCACAACTGGAACAAGATATAAAATCCTACCACAATTTCAAAACCTATCTATTGCATATGGATTCAAATACTATTGATTCAAATCGTGCAGAACAGATCGCGTACTCACTAACTAGCAATGAACAAGGTGGATATCAACCAAGGACATTACAAGAACATAATCATGGACGATATGCTTATTTACCTATATTTCCAAGCAAATATGATGGTCCAAATGATTGCTTACTCTTGGCTAATGTACCAGGTTCGTTTTTTTCATTCAATCTATACTGATCATAAATCGTTTCATTTCATGGTCTTTTAACGAATCGTCTTGCATCTCATGAGATCACTCGACGTCAACATGGAGCAGACACGTCGGATGCACTAATGCTGATGAGCAAGTACAATTATTCTGATGGATTTAGTTTATCTGAACAAGATGCTGTAGAACTAGCTACACGATTACAAGTAGGCAAATCAATCATTACTTTCAATGCTGATCAACTTCGTCGAATCTGTTATACTCTTCTTGCATTACATGAAACATTTCGACGACATGTTCTATTTAAAAGCGATGTTCCTTTAAAAGAACCAACACTGAATTCGAAACAAATGGCTATGGCATTGGAATTCTATCTACAAATAGATGGTTAGGCTTCAGGGTAGATATATATGTTTCATATTCTTTAGTGGATCTATTCTACATGAAAACTTGCTCATTTCGAGAAGCTGAACCTCAATCTAACATGGAAGGTCTATTCTGTGGAAGTGATGAACCTCAAGCAAGATATGCATTGGTTCCATGTGCTGATCTCTTTTGGTCATGTTGTCTTCCGTTACATACTTACAAGAAAAGTCAATCATGGCCTATCGTTGATTTTACTTCAAGTTCAATGCATCGATTTCTCAACGGTTATACTACCTATCTCAATTGTTCAGCAGTATGTTGTTAATCGAACATTTCATTTCCATCAATATAGTCTTTTGTTGAAATTTAGACATGTACTACATCAAATATAGTCTATGCTATGACATGTCCATGTGGTCATTATGATTATATTGATTCAACAGCAAAAACATTGGCTGATGCTATGGTTTGTAAGTATAAATCGTCTTACGATAGTCATGGGCATGTCTTTATTTCTCTTCTTCTTCTTCTTATAATGTAGATCATCGGCAACATGGTAACCGAATTATACATGAAAAATTGACGGGTAGTCCTCTATTTCGAGGATCACAGATCGATCCAGACGAGAGAGAGTAATGAAAGACATACGATCATTCCTTTGACTATGCAATATATTCTATGTTTTTTTTTCTTTGTCTTCATTGTTGTAGGAAATAAATGGCTAATCAGATGCATCTCTATCAACATTCAGCTCGATGTCCAGCAGCACTTCGCTCATTTCTCGATTGCAATCCCATGTATTGGTGTTTTATTCCTCAACCATGGAACGTAGCATTGGAAGAAAATGTTTCTGATTTCCCAAATGCTTTCACTACAGATCCCAATCTAGCTGCTGTGATGGCAACTACTGCCATAGACAATCGTAGAGTAGCTTTTTATCTAGACAATGTACCATCACCACCAGCTGCCTATGCCTTCTCATATCCACAGATACAAAAACAGCGTTCATTTTTCGAGCAATTTGTTACTTACTCTATTCATCAGCGACCTTATATTGACTTGGTCTTGTATAAGGTGGCAATCATTGCTGTTCGTAAGTAAACTTTTCTTTATGAACTAACATCATCATCATCATCTTTATCATTATTGATTTTTCTTTTTCATTGATTTAGTACCAGATGATTGTTCGATTATATTACGATACATTATCGAAATATTGTTTATTATTCATGGTGAAACTAAATTGAATATGATTTACCCGCTTGGCGGTGATGTTGAAAAACGCTATGGTCGTCCCTATGATCTTGTTTGGTGTGCTAATTTGAATCATTCATTGACATGAACTATAATATCAACTCAATGACATATGAAAGTGATAAAATCACTATTATTTATAGGATATAAACAACATTCATCATTTCGTAGATAATTATTACTCTTTAGTGTTTGTAGTGTGTTTGTAAAATAGTCAACTCGAAAATAAATGCATATTTGTTGTGTATTTTAGCTCATATCATAATCATATACTATTCTATTTCAGATTAGTAATATCCATGAAATAGACAGCATCGATTCTCTGCTCACCTGAGCAGTCCAATGATAGACATGTGTTAAACCATGATACATTATTAAAAAACTACCAACAACTTCTCACATATTTGATTGATGCACAACTGGACCATAAGAAAACAACTCGAATGGAACGATACATTAAACAATAGAATCAAAACTTTCCTTGATCATCTAACCATCAGCTATTAATATTAAAATACAATTATATCAATAAAAATATACAGGTCCTACATGATTCTGTAAGTAAACCTCACAATCTAACAGAAAAACATTTTAGACTGAATTGACACTCATCCTTTTCAACTGTTTTAGCAATTTAGAATAACTCAGTTGCTATTTTTCATGCAGTGCTTCATTTCGATTCAAATGCAACATCACTTAGTGAGATCTTCGTCCAATACTATTCTCCGTTAGTAACATCGATCTCATGAAATTACTAGTCTTATCAACCACAGTAAAATATACCAAAAGAAAAGAAAAAATGACCTATTCAGTGATAATCTATCATTCATTCCTGTGTAACATCAGTCACAGCTATCTCAGAATCGATTCATTAAAACCCGTGCATTAGATTAACAATTTATTTGCTAACAACAATTCGATCGCTTAGCATTGACATCACACTGTCCATAAACCATGAGCAACCGCTCCGATATTTAACTGAGCAAAACCATCAAATGATCTCCATATGACTTCCATGCAAAACTCTAGCGGGCGAGCTTCACTATAATCGTAACTCATGTAAGTGATACCAAAAATCTTATTATTCGTCTTTCACATCCAAGACTATCTTGTTCACATGCGAACGACTCTGAGAACAAAACATTCATATCTACTTGCATTACATTACTTCGGCTTCTCATTGTCCATTTATAACGATCTAACGATAGACAACATTACACCCAAAACATAACTCAAAACAACTCCGACATATGAAACCATCTGCATAAGATCATTGAATGATAAACCACTGTTTTCTCAAAAACCATCTCAACCTAATAAGAATCCACTCAAACTCATATAAATATCCAAATTCCTGAAACCCATTCAGTACCAACATCCCTACTCCCTACTGAATGTCTGAATACAACTTCGCGCAACAATTATACTACTACCAACTCAATCAGATTTCACGTCAAATCGAAATACTTGAAATATTCTGGTAACTCTTCACAATCTTGACACGATTCTTTTTTGATTTTCTCGTCGAAAACAATTTTAGTATTTCGTACTCATCTTTGGATCATTTGTACTGATACACTCGCCACTTAATAAGATGTATCATCAAATCAAAATACTTCAACTATCGTGGTATCTCTTAACGTGCCTATCCATTTGATAAGATTATTTTCAGTAAGATCGAAATACCCTGGATATTATGGTAGCCATACACACTCATGAAACATATTCAGATAAAATGACTTGAACAAATGTCAACTCCTCTGATAACCAGTGATATTCTTATGAATAAACGACAACCTCTTCATCTGTTGACTTTATCGAAAAGTGAACACAACAAAAATGTGTTCGTATTACTTGATTTTTAATTTTTTTTTTGTTTTCATCAGTGATGATATCTTGTTCTTATTACTATTTTTTCTGTAGGACACGATACTATGGACCATCTTTAACAAAATGACATCGGTCAATACTACATGGATCAATGAATATTGTTCGTTTTCAATTTTTTACTCGTAGAAGTTGTTCGTTTGCAATAGAGTTGTATTAGTATTGAATAGATGATTTAAAAAATACAAGCGTATTTCGGATACTCTATCACATAAGCTTATGTTGATTGGTTTCGTTTTGTTTTTAGATAATTTCAATTAATAGACATTGTTTCCATAGGAGTACGATGACTGACAAGCGATATTCCAATGCTCAAGCTCATTGCTGAAGTCAACTTTCGGCTAGTCAAGTACGCACACCACCCAACATTTTGCATCCTCCGTCCCAACAACAACCACAAATAGTGACGACGAAGCAAAAAAAGAAGAAAAGCTGTGGTGATAGAGCAGAACAACATTTTCAACGAAGATTGCGTCAACGAAACTTGGATGAAGAAACCAGGGCATTATTAGTGCAAGCAAGAGTTGAAAGAAAACGAGAACAACAACAACAAACTGTGCTTGAAACTGAAATAGAAGTAAACGAAATTGGTAATCAAATGATCAACATGACACAGGATAAACAAATGATGGTAAGAACATTTATCAAAAGATAAAAACTAACTATATCAATGATTTCTTTTGTTTTCTAATGATTAGGAAATTCCATTAAATGACGTCATTCCTCAGTCTAATTCGAAGAAGCGTAAACGCAACGTACCGACTAAAATTGACAGACATTTAAGTAAATCATTGAGTCGATTATCGATTTCACAAGGATATTCAAAGAAGGTGAAGAAAAATGTTGCATCAAACAATGTTTTAACAAAAATGATCCATGAACTGAATGATCAGCCAAAAATATCAACAAAAAAAATTAAAGTCTACTTTCGTACCTCAATATTTGACAGTATCCAATCGGAAATTTAAAGAAATATTATCAAAAGTTGTTCACGATGGCCATCAAATTTATGAGTGGCTAGACAATGATCAAAAGTTAAAATCCACACGTGAATTAGCTCATATATTTAACTTGATGAATTATTTAACATTACAACAACAACTATGGCAAGATTATCTTGATATCGGTATGAACGATGGTGTTTGGGCTCCACGAGTATCGAAGTCAAAAGCTAAAGAACATAATACATGTGTATCATATGGTCGATCAGAGAAATTTGTTGAACAACGTCAAAAAACAATTCAACATCAATTGAATCGCACTGATCGCCAATTACAACAACATCTTGCTCAACTACCAGAATGGACAGGAAAAGTTCAACCTTCCATTGATTCAACATTTCTCTCAAATGCCATTAAAGCAATGATAAAAAATGGTCTCTATCGCTTAAATGCTCAATTCAAACATAAACAAGCCATGTTAAAATTCGATGCTGATGATCATCACTTGATTGCGGCCGTCTATGACTTGAAACCGACTGAAGAACAGGTCTGTGTCTATAGCATAGGTTCGTTATCTTCAATGGAAATTAATGAAATTGATTGTTTGACATTTTAGATTGTGCTCCTAAAAATATATTGGCAAGCCGTTGCAGATGAACAGAAAGCACTCGAGGAAATGGAAGTACTTCGAAAACGAGTGTCATTAAGACGACTTCCTCAGCCATTTGCTAAAATTCTTGATCAATCCATTGCGTCTGTTCAAACAATGCTCTCACGTCCTATTCTTAATAAACATCGACGTGCTAGTATGGCATCATGTTGTTCAAAAACAATTACACAATATAAATTTGATATGATAACTATGACCATTGCTATAGCTCAAGATACGGCTCGTGATCATGCTCAATTGGCAGTCGATACGAAAAATAAATTACGACTACTCGGCGGTGATCAAATACGATCTTCTACTGAATTACTCATCAACGCCATGGAAACTCGTGCAGAAAATATGAAAAAACGTGCATAAGAATTACTTCAATGTAAATTGATGTTTTTTTTCGAGCAGGCTCCGGTGGTGGACAACGACGAAGGCAACACATCCGCCGGAGCAATCTAAGCATTTATACAAACATCACTGCCTCATCACCTTTCATCGAAACTGATTTAAGTCTATCGCCAATACAAATGTCCATGCTTATCAAAGGTCTTAAATATATTCCACCATGTCAAAGTCGATTCTCACGTCAATCTATTGATGCTATTGTCAATGAACAATACAAGACTTTGTATTCCATTGTTCAAGGTTGCCTTGGTGATCATCGTATGCAGCTCGTAGAGCCACGTGAAAAGGAAGGTTTTTCATCCTTGAAACGAATCCTCTATGAACTTCAATCCAAAAAATTACCACGTAAACTAGGAATTCGTGCTCGACGTGAACGCAAAGTAGTACGAAGTATTATAAAAATTTTACGTCAACGACCCGACATTACTGTTCGTCGAACTGACAAGAGTAAAGTATTTTATGTAGGTAATGCTACAGTTTTTGCCGAGAAAGCATCAAAATATATGATCGAAACAGAAGCTTATCAGGAGATCTCGAACGACCATTGTATTTTATCGGAAAATCTTCATTTGGTTACTACTCTTCTAGCTTCTCTTTCAAAAAAGGGTGCTATTAATCAAGAGCAACATAAGAACATGTCTCCGAAAACAGTTGCATTAGAATTGGCACATCTTCATTTTATCCCAAAACCACATAAAGTAAGTTGCTTATTGTATCATTGCAATTTGGACGATATACATATTATCGTCGCCTTTGAATTCATTTTTATCTCTATTGTTTCATAGCCTGATACACCATTACGACCGATTGTAGCAGCTATTCATATACCAGCAACAGAAGTGTCCAAATTTCTTAATGATCTATTAGCCCCTGTATTTCTACGTGTTGCACGAAAGACCACTTTTATTAATGGTATTGATCTTGTTCGAGCATTAGAAAAATATGTTACCGATGGTCAGTTAAAACCAACGACCTTGTTTATCACTTTTGATGTTGAAAATCTGTATACAATGATCCCACGACAAGGTGATTTAGAGGCATTAATGCAATTTCTTGAACGACATTTACACAACAAGAAAATTGGAACATTGCGCATTGATGATATCATGAAAATGGCTCGTCTCGTATTGGATACAAATATTTTTACCTATGAAAATAAATATTACCGACAAATACGTGGTGAAGTTATGGGATCTGCCTTTACACAAACATTAGCCAATATTTATATGTTAGATTGGAAACAAAAATTAATACAAGATCAAGATGCAGACAAAGAAATATACGGACGGTTAGTTGAAAATCTTCGCATGATATTTAATACCATTAATGATGTTTCTATTGTTGTCTTTAGATATATTGATGATGTATTTATGACAACAAACTCAACATTCGATCAAGTTAAAGAAAAATTAGAAAATGCTCATAGAAAAGATCCAAATATTCGAATTTCATATTCCATTCAATCTACCATCGACTTTCTCGATGTCACAGTCAGCAATGATAATGGTCAATTGAAAACAACGATCTTTCATAAACCAGCCGCTGAACCCTATATACTACCTTACACATCCGATCATCCACGAAATGTTTATCATAATATACCATATGCAGCTCTATCGAGAGCGGCAAGAATCTGCTCGAATGTTGAAGATTTTGACATAGAACGCATTCAAATTGACCTATCGTTATTACTAAACGAGTATCCACCTTCATTCGTTTCTAAACATTTTCATCGATTCTTCCAACTCAACCAGGCAATGCCCGTATTAGAACGGCTTGATTCAGACGTGTACCACGAAATACATCAAAATTTACTGCATTCACCAACAAGAAAAGAAAAACAATTACAAGAGACAACCGAAGATCTTGATGCTTTACCTGAAATATTACAGAAAAAAAACCTTGGGATTCGAATGTCATGTATGCAAAATATAACTTCGAAAGTGGACCAAGATTAGCCTTTCAACCTGAATTCCGTACTTGGTGGAAACAACATTTCGGACATGCAGGTTCTAGTGTCGAACATGTCCAACTAAAGTTTGCCGTCAGAACTAATCATACTCTCGAAGATATGTTTGTGCACAAGAAACCTCCAAGACATATGCTGAAACGAAAACCAAACCTAATCCTACAACCAACAGCTAATAAAGACAATGCACTCGGTTGAAAACAAAAACTAACACGATAACCATGTCGATCATCAAATCTTATCACGAGGAACATACTAAATTTTCACCGATATAAATAAATAATAATTTGCTCGCAGCACTAAACATATTTTTCTCTTTTTCTTCAAAACTTTACAAATCGATGTACAAAACACAACTATAAATTTTCCTTCCTTCTTTCAGATATACTTCATTTTACATGACATCTACAACCGCCAACGGCTAACATTTAAACACGTCGGTATATGAACCCTCTGCCCCAAACCATTTGGACAAACTACCATACAAAACAATAACCAGAGGACATACCAATATTCTAAAACTTAAACAAGACTATTTCATTATCATCTCATCACATCAACTGCACCAAAAAAAGGTAAAACGCGTCGTAAGTATGCTTGGTTTCTAAAAAATTCAATTCTATACATACCTAGTTTTGAATTTTCTGCGATTTCTAATAATTCTTTTACTTTCTTTTTTTCTTGAAAGTTAAAGAACTACTAGTGGTCATTTTTCAAAAATTGTGTTGGAAGTTTGTTGAAAATTTTCCTTGTAAAGTTTTCACAGAACTTTTACTATTTTGAAATTTGATCGACATGCAGTTTATTTAGATTCCGAACTTACCTGAAGAATCGCCCTTAAGCAAGGCCGAAACGCGTCGTAAGTATGCTTGGTTTCTAAAAAATTCAAGTCTATACGCACCCCACCCACACCCACACCCACACCCGTACACGCTGAAGCAAAACGAAGGTGTCCAAAAAGATAAAGTACTGAACTAGAAGACAATTGATAAAAAAAATTCATCTTAATGACTTTTTTCCTAAAAGCTTAATATTGACTCAGCTTGTAGAGCAACAATTTGAAAATTACTTCATGAATAGCTCACCAACGGGTTTCTTGATTTTGCTCAAAATATTGATGTACATTCATTTCAAATAAATATATAACCTATTAAAGAATTCGTTTTCCGTTCATGAGAAATTGTCAAAATTTGATTCTATGTTGAAAGGCAGTTTTCCTTCTACTAACACGTTTTGAAGTACATCTAAACTCTAGAAAACTTGTACTTCAGCTGACATGCAGTAAAGTTTTAGGAAATTTTCACTTTATAACATAGCCATGTAGTATAATAAAGAGCGCTACTTAAAACTGATTCAGATCTTCCTTCAGCTTTTTCTTCAATGGTACGAAAAAGTTGCAATTCATTCTTATCTGAAATACCAAGGGCAAATTCTTTTTGAATAAGACCAATCAATTTGATGCAGAATGCTTTGGTATTAATTAATGTTTTTAAGCAACGCAATAGGAACGAAGAACACAAAAATGTAGCATATTAGTAAAAAACGAGAGTATCATTATAGTCTAAAAAATTGCCCATTATCGCTCATCTTGATGATAATGTATATTGAATTGTTGCTGTTGTATCCGAAGCCCAATCTTGAGGTATTGAATATTCTTCAGTTGTTTCTAAGGATAAAGATATATTCACTGTCATTCCCAATTGTAAAGTTGGTAGGCCTGTATCTTTGTTTAATAAAAATCCTTGGAATGGTGCTCGCATTTCCAATTCGTTGCCTTTTGCACTCCGCGCATAAGTTATGATACCATTGAATGGTCCAGGTGCACAGTCTTGAGAAAAGCAAACATAATGATTATCATATGGAGCAGGTAACTCATATGGTCCATCTAAACATCTTTTCGTTTCATCTGGAGTTGGCTTTTCTCTCCAATAAACGTATTCAGTGTAATAATCATAATAGGCACGACGAAATGAAAATCTATTTTGTATATTTTCTTCTCTTGTATAGTTGTTTTCATTGGTAGTATTAGCAGCATGATCAAGACAATAGTTTTGATTAAATGTACCATTATAGAATTCGATTTCAAAATTTCCATCAAAGCCAGGCGCAGTTGGATAATAACCACCTTCATGTAGCCAATAACCTGTTGTGTCATTCATGTCGATATTAACTGTCGTTATTATATAAAATCTTCCAGCTGATGGTTTTGATGGATCACTCTCGTTAAATAGACCCTGTCCAATTGAAGTCTTACCAATGACTCCATCATCAACCACACGATAATATACATATAATGACGAATTATCGTGAGCTATTTTAAATTCAACTATGTTTACATTTGGATTATAAATATGTTTTGGTATATCAGTTTGTTTTCGTGAATCTGTATCATGACAATCTGGAATTTTTAATGAAGGAAACCATGGACTTTCTTGATAAACCGTACCATCTATATTATCCACTGGGTCAGTATATGATCGAACATCTAACCAATCATCAAAATCCCCATCAACTACTATATTTCGATTTATTGGATCAGGTTTCAAAATGTGAATTATAGAAAACATAAGTAGTATTCTATTTAATAAATTCATTTTTATTGTCAGCTACTTTTAGCAATGAG